TCAGTGCTTTGAACATTGTATGAAAATGGTTTGTGTTAACATTGAAAAGTTTTAAGGGCTTTGAACTGCAAATGAAAAAAATAATTTGTGCAAACAAATTTGGAACTAAATATTATAACATCTGAAATTTTGGCTGCATGCGGGGGCATCCGTGGCATGATGACACATTTCTAGTTTACTTTTTATTCTCCAGTGCGTTACTTGAAAATTAATGGTTGGAATTCAGTGAAACTTTATACAATGGTCAAGGGCAGTGAGACGAAGTGCAGTGCACAAGAAACATAACTCAATTTGGACTAATTACAGTTATTGCCCTTGGTTACTTTTTTGTCCAGTGCATAACTTGAAAACTAGTAGTTGGAATTCAATACAACTTCATACAATGGTCAAATGCAATGAGAGGAAGTGCAGTGTACAATAACCATAACTCCATCTTCAGTATTTATAGAGCTATTGCCCTTTGTTCCTTTTCCTTGTCTTCCTGGACTTATTTCAGAGTAATTCAATAAAATAAAACTTCATCAATGGCCAACCACATTGAAAGGAAATGCAACATACAAGAACCACAACTATCTTTAATTGCCCACAACCATAACTCTATTTCAATTCTTTTACAAGGTACAGTTGAGACTGCCTTAGCGACCCCCAGATTTCAACGACTCCCTGTCTTATCGGACCTTCTTTCAGTACTCTCAACGTATTTTCCTATATAAATGGTCTGAATTAAACGACTCCCTGTCATATGTGACAAGCGACCCTAATTGTCTGGTCCCAATGCAATGTTTTGTCTGATTTAAACGGCTTTCACACCTTTTAATTGTCCGTTAATCCGATAAATAATACCTATTTTAACACCCAGAGGGCCAAAATAATTAAGTCCAATCATAATCCAGTAGCAAACAAACTCTACACACCTCTGCCAGGTTCAATTACACAGTTTACATGTATATAGGTATCGAGTGACGTACGTAGCGTCTGTTCCCTACTGCCAAATATGGTAAGCATGATGCAATCGATGTGTGTGTAATGTACATAATGGCCTGAGTAAACTGGATTAAGACTTGTGTCAGATTTTTTTTATGCCACCGCAGCATCTGCGATGCGGTGGCATATAGCGATTCACCTGTGTGTTTGTGTTTGTGTGTGTGTTATATAGATTATATAGTGAACTTAAAAAATCTTCTTGTGAAAAACCACTAGTCCAATTTCAACCAAACTTGGCAGGATTGTTCCTTGGGTGAAGGGCTTCCAAAGTTGTTCAAAGAATTTCATTCCATGCAGAAATCTGGTTGCCATGGCAACCAAAAGGAATTATAAGAATAAATTTAAAAAATCTTCTTGTAAAGACCCAAAAGGTCTAGAGCTTAGATATTTTGCATAAGGCAATGTCTGGTAGACCTCTAACAAGATTGTTCAAATTATAGCCCTGGGGTCAAAATTGGCCCCGCCCGGGGGGTCATTGATTTTCAATATGTACATATAGTAAAAACTTAAAATACCTTCTTGTAAAAACCCAAAAGGTCTAGAGCTTTGTTATTGTGCATAAGGCATCATCTGGTAGACCCTTACCAAGATTGTTCAAATTATAGCCCTTGGGTCAAAATCGGTAGACCTGGGGTCAAAATTGGCCCCGCCCCGGGGGTCATTGATTTTCACTATGTACATATAGTAAAAACTTAAAATACCTTCTTGTAAAAACCCAAAAGGTCTAGAGCTTTGATATTGTGCATAAGGCATCATCTGGTAGACACTTACCAAGATTGTTCAAATTATAGCCCTTGGGTCAAAATCGGTAGACCTGGGGTCAAAATTGGCCCCGCCCCGGGGGTCATTGATTTTCACTATGTACATATAGTAAAAACTTAAAACACCTTCTTGTAAAGACCCAAAAGGCCTAGAGCTTAGATATTTTGCATAAGGCATTGTCTGGTAGACCTCTACCCAGATTGTTCAAATTATAGCCCTGGGGTCAAAATCGGCCCGCCCCAGGGGTCATTGGTTTTCCTTATATGTATATAGTAAAAACTTAAAAAAAATTCTTCTAGCAATTGACAAATGCTAGAGGTTAGATATTTTGCATGAAACATTGTGTTGTAAAACTCTAGCAAGATTGTTCAAATTATAGCCCTGGGGTCAAAATTGCCCCCGCCCTGGGGGTCATTGATTTCAATATATACATATAGTAAAAAATAAAAAAATCTTATTGTCTGAAGGTACAAGGCTTAGAGCTTTAATATTTGTTAAATAATATCATCTAAAGGTACTCTACCAAAGTTGTTCAAATTTTGCCTCTTGTGTCAAAATTAGCCCCGCCCCTGGGAGCCATAGGTTTATCTTATATGTATATAGTTAAAACTTAAAAAATCATCTTTTCTAAATTTACAAAGGATAGAGTTAAGATATTTTGCATGAAACATTGTGTAGTGAACCTCTAGCAAGATTGTTCAAATTATAGCCCTGGGGTAAAAATTGGTTCCGCCCCGGGGGTCATTGATTTTCATTATGTACATATAGTGAAAAAAAAAAAAATTGTCTGAAGGTTCAAGGCATTGAGCTTTGATGTTATATAATATCATCTATAGGTCCTCTACCAAAGTTGTTCAAATGTCAAAAATTGGCCCTGCCCGAGGGGCAGTGATTCTCATTATGTACACGTAGTAAAAACAGAAAATAAAACAAATGTTTTTTGAATGGGAGAAAGCTATAGCTTAGATATTTGACTTGAAATGTTGTTTGGTGGACCTGTATCAAGATTGTTATTAAACCCTTGGGTCAAAATTATGCCTTGCCCAAGGGGACAGTGACCTACTTTCTTATCCTTTGATGTACAGCAATGACATTTTGACCATGTGCACAGTTTTAGTTGTAAAATTGAACTTTGACCTAGATTTTGATGATGTGACCTTCTTTCTTGTCCTTTGATGTACAGCTATGAAATTTGAACCATGCGGTGGCATAGCATTTTTCTCAAATGCAATCTTTTTTTTTGTTTAACATGGAGCTAAATATCAGATTATAAATCTGTGGTTTTAACAAAATCACACTGTTTTCATTTTTATCCCCCGCCGAAAAGGCAGCGGTGGATATAGAAATAGTCTCCGTCCGTCCGACCAACCTTCTGTCCGTCCGTCCTTCCGTCCGACATTTTTGTCTGGAGCATATCTCTAAAAGTATTTGAGTAATCAACTTGAAACTTCATAAGTGGATAGACCTCATTGAGGAGGAGTGCAGTGCACAAGAATGATAACTCTACCCTGCATAATTTTTGAGTTATTGCCCTTTGTTATTTTTCAAAATTGAATTTTGTCCAGAGCATAACTCCAAAAGCCTATGAGATATCAACATGAAACTTCATAGGTGCATAGATCTCACTCAGGAGGTGTGCAGTGCACAAGAATGATAACTCTACCTTTCATAATTTTTGAGTTATTGCCCTTTGTTATTTTTCATACTTAATTTTTGACCTGAGTGGAGCATAACTCAAAAAGTGTTTGACATATCAACATGAAATGTCATAGGTGGATAGATCTTATTGAGGAGGAATGTTGTGCACAAGAATGATAACTCTTCCCTATACAATTGTTGAGTTATTGCCCTTTGTTCTTTTTCATGCTATTTTGTCCAGAGCTTATCTCAAAAAGTATTTGAGTTATCAACTTGAAACTTCATAGGTGGATGGATCTCATTGAGGAGGAGTGCAGTGCACAAGAATGATAACTCTACCCTGCATAATTTTTGAGTTATTGCCCTTTGTTATTTTTCAAAATTAATTTTTGTCCAGAGCATAACTCAAAAAGCCTTTGAGATATCAAAATGAAACTTCATAGGTGCATAGATCTCACTCAGGAGGTGTGCAGTGCACAAGAATGATAACTCTACCTTTCATAATTTTAGAGTTATTGCCCTTTGTTATTTTTCATACCTAATTTTTCACCCGAGTGGAGCATAACTCACAAGTGTTTGAGATGTCAACATGAAATGTCATAGGTGGATAGATTTTATTGAGGAGGAATGCTGTGCACAAGAATGATAACTCTTCCCTGTACAATTTTTGAGTTATTGCCCTTTGTTCTTTTTCATACTATTTTGTCCGGAGCTTATCTCAAAAAGTATTTGAGGTATCAACTTGAAACTTCATAGGTGGATAGATCTCATTGAGGAAGAGTGCAGTGCACAAGAATGATAACTCTACCCTGCATAATTGTTTAGTTATTGCCCTTTTTTTATTTTTCAAAATTAATTTTTGTCCAGAGCATAACTCAAAAGGCCTTTGAGATATCATTATGAAACTTCATAGGTGCATAGATCTAACTCAGGAGGTGTGCAGTGCACAAGAATGATAACTCTACCTTATATAATTTTTGAGTTATTGCCCTTTGTTATTTTTCATACTTAATTTTTCAATTCAATTTTTTTCTCAAAAAGTATTTGAGGTATCAACTTGAAACTTCATAGGTGGATAGATTTTACTGAGGAGGGATGCAGCACACAAGAATGATAACCTACCCTGCATTATTTTTCAGTTATTGCCCTTTGTTATTTTCAGCCATCAGTATTCACATAGGTTTCAAATCTGTAATCACTATAGCCATCAGTTTTCATTACCAAAAGACCTCTTAAAATGGAATTATTCTGCTGTACTACATATTAAGGGTGTAACGGTTTACCGGTATACCGATTTATTGCAATATGAAAAAATAAATTTCGTACCGGGGTACGATCTTTTGAAAACCGGTATTTTATAAAAATCATAATTTTCAATTAATTGCCTTCTAATTTTGTACAAATTTCACATAAGATCTTTAATTGGCGATTTTTGTTGAATTTCAGACATGGTATTACTTTGTGAATTTATGCAGAAGGTTCTACTTTTTCACAAAAATATGCAACTTAATTATTAAACAAGAACATGGAGAAAAAAATTGATTTGTACTCCAGACATTCAACTGTAATAGAGAACGGTTTTCACTGTCTGTTCACATTATTTGGCGGGGTCTTTGATGTGCAGCATCAACATTTAACTTGTCTCTACTTCAGCATGAAAAATTATAACACAATGGTGATGTTTATTTTCACATGATGATAGTTGTAATATGGTTAGTCTCGAGATAAATGAAGATTTATTTTAAACATTAACTGATGATGAAGTTTGTTTCAAAACATAAATGATGATATGATATTGATATTAATTTTGAACAAAATTGATGATGAACAGGATAAAGATGATGGGGCAGTGGGTAAACAGACTGGCTTACAAGCAAACACAAGTACAGACAGACAAGTGGTATCACCATGCAAAGTCTCCAATATCCTCAAGTCATTGAGGGCATACAGGAAAAGAGAATTTAGACCAAATCAAAAGGTAAAATCATGTACTTATTAATCAATGAAAGCATTTACTTATGGAAGTTATGGCAACCCTATGAATTTAAATAATCCCACTTATTATATGCCCAAAAGATTTTCGGCGTATATTGTTTTGCACCTGGTTGTCTGTCTGTTAGCAGGTTTTTGTATCTGCTCCGTATCTTTTAAACCGCAGGAAAGAAATTAAAACTTTTTGGCAGAATAATTGGTGATTTATTGATTTATATAGACTTATATAGGAGTTACCATGTCCGGTCTATATCTTTTGAATCAATGGAAGAAAATCAGAAATGCTTGGCAGAAATGTTATCCATAATAAGATGATGTGCAGAGCGCAGGTTTGAACTTTCTCAGGTCAAGGTCACAGTCATTTTGTATCAATTTAAATTTTTTTGTCCACTCTGTATCTTTTGAACCAGTAGAAAGAAATTAAAACCTTTTGGCAGTAATATTACTTATATTGAGACAGTGTGCAGAACACAAGTTCGGACTTCCTAAGATCAAAACTGGCCCGCGCAGGGATTTAATGATTTATATAGACATATAGGAGTTTTTTGTGTCAGGTTTGTATCTTTTGAACTGGTGGAAGGAAATTGAAACTACATTGTACTTGGCAGAAATGTTAACTATAATGAGACAATGTGTAAAGCACAGGTTTGACCTTCTGAAGATCAAGGTCATACATTTTTAGCTCACCTGACCACGAAGTGGTCAAGGTGAGGTATAGTGATGGGGCTATGTCCGGCGTCAGTCCTCGTGCGTCGTCAACAATTGGGTTGTTAACAGTCTAGCAGTCACAGTTTTGATTGAATCATCATCAAACTTTGTCAGAATGTTTGTCTCAACGAAATACAGATCGAGTTCGAAGATGGGTTATCTCTGGTCAAAAACTAGGTCACAGGAGCTAAAAATAGAAAAAGCTTGTTAACACTCTAGAGGCTGCAGTTTTCATCCAAGTATCCTGGAAATTTGTCAGGAAGGTTGTTTTCATGATATCTAAGTCAAGTTCGAAGATGAGTCATGTCCGGTCAAAAACTAGGTCACAGGAGCTAAAAATAGAAAAAGCTTGTTAACACTCTAGGGCTGCAGTTTTCATCCAAATATTCTGGAAATTTGTCAGGAAGGTTGTTTTGATGATTTCTAGGTCAAGCTCGAAGATGGGTCATCTCTGGTCAAAACTAGGTCACAGGAGCTAAAAATAGAAAAAGCTTGTTAACACTCTAATGGTTGCAGTTTTCATCCAAATATTCTGGAAATTTGTCAGGAAGGTTGTTTTGATGATTTCTAGGTCAAGCTCGAAGATGGGTCATCTCTGGTCAAAAACTAGGTCACAGGAGCTAAAAATAGAAAAAGCTTGTTAACACTCTAGTGGCTGCAGTTTTCATCCAAATATTCTGGAAATTTGTCAGGAAGGTTGTTTGTTGATTTCTAGGTCAAGTTCGAAGATGGGTCATCTCCGGTCAAAAACTAGGTCACAGGAGCTAAAAATAGAAAAAGCTTGTTAACACTCTAGTTGCTGCAGTTTTCATCCAAATATTTTGGAAATTTTCAGGAAGGTTGTTTTGATGATTTCTAGGTCAAGTTCAAAGATAGGTCATGTCCAGTCAAAAACTAGGTCACAGGAGCTAAAAATAGATAAAGCTTGTTAACACTCTAATGGTTGCAGTTTTCATCCAAATATTCTGGAAATTTGTCCGGAAGGTTGTTTTGATGATTTTAGGTCAAGTTCGAAAATCGGTCATGTCCGGTCAAAAACTAGGTCACAGGAGCTAAAAATAGATAAAGCTTGTTAACACTCTAATGGTTGCAGTTTTCATCCAAATATTCTGGAAATTTGTCCGGAAGGTTGTTTTGATGATTTTAGGTCAAGTTCGAAGATCGGTCATGTCCAGTCAAAAACTAGGTCACAGGAGCTAAAAATAGATAAAGCTTGTTAACACTCTAATGGTTGCAGTTTTCATCCAAATATTCTGGAAATTTGTCCGGAAGGTTGTTTTGATGATATCTAGGTCAAGTTGGAAGATGGGTAATGTCCGGTCAAAAACTAGGTCACAGGAGCTAAAAATAGAAAAAGCTTGTTAACACTCTAGTGGTTGCAGTTTTCATCCAAATATTCTGGAAATTTGTCAGGAAGGTTGTTTTGATGATATCTAAGTCAAGTTGGAAGATGGGTCATGTCCGGTCAAAAACTAGGCCACAGGAGCTAAAAATAGAAAAAGCTTGTTAACACTCTAGTGGCTGCAGTTTTCATCCAAATATTCTGGAAATTTGTCAGGAAGGTTGTTTTGATGATTTCTAGGTCAAGTTCGAAGATCAGTCATCTCAGGTCAAAAACTAGGTCACAGGAGCTAAAAATAGAAAAAGTTTGTTAACACTCTAGTGGCTGCAGTTTTCATCTAAATATTCTGGAAATTTGTCAGGAAGGTTGTTTTGATGATATCTAAGTCAAGTTTGAAGATGGGTCATGTCTGATCAAAAACTAGGTCACAGGAGCTAAAAATAGAAAAAGCTTGTTAACACTCTATGGGCTGCAGTTTTCATCCAATATTCTGGAAATTTGTCAGAAAGGTTGTTTTGATGATTTCTAGGTCAAGTTCGAAGATGGGTTATCTTCGGTCAAAAACTAGGTCACAGGAGCTAAAAATAGAAAAAGCTTGTTAACACTAGTGGGCTGCAGTTTTGATTCAAATATTCTGGAAATTTGTCAGGAAGGTTGTTTTGATGATTTCTAGGTCAAGTTCGAAGATGGGTTATCTCCGGTCAAAAACTAGGTCACAGGAGCTAAAAATAGAAAAAGCTTGTTTACACTCTAGTGGCTGCAGTTTTGATTCAAATATTCTGGAAATTTGTCAGGAAGGTTTTTTTGATGATATCTAGGTCAAGTGTGAAGATGGGTCATCTCCGGTCAAAAACTAGGTCACAGGAGCTAAAAATAGAAAAAGCTTGTTAACACTCTACTGGCTGCAGTTTTGAACCAAATATTCTGGAAATTTGTCAGGAAGGTTGTTTTGATGATTTCTAGGACAAGATTGGTCATGTCCAGTCAAAATCTAGGTCACAGGAGCTAAAAATAGAAAAATCTTTTTAACACTCTAGTCGCTGCAGTTTTGATCCAAATTTCCTGGAAATTGGTCAGGATGGTTGCTTTGATGATTTCTAGGTCAAGTTTGAATATGGGTCGTGTCCGGTCAAAATTAAGGTCACATTGCCTAAATATGGAAAAACCTTTTTAACCCATTACCCCATGAGCATTTTGTGAAAAATGGCTGTTTTCATTGAAAAGTCTCCCGTTACAAGTTCAAGTTGCTATAAAACTATAAAAACTGCTTCAATACTAATCAAACTTGGCACAATTGTTGACTGGACCATTGCCTTTGTAACAACATGCTCAGTCTGAAATTTCCTGTTACCATGGCAACTGGGGGACATCTCAAAATTGCCAAAAATCACTATTTTGCGTTGATTTTTTCCATCAAAATTGATTTCAAAGTGCTGCCACTTCTCAATGGATTGAGATAGAGTCAAAGGCTTTTCAGCATTGGTTACACGTTACCTTATGATCGACCTGGGGCCATTTTTAGCCTCCCACAAGTCCAAAATTTTCTTGGCAATGAGGGGGACTCCGCCCCCCCTTCAAACCCCACAAAGAGAAGGGGGCACATCCCCCTTCTGGCAACCCCCTGATGTATCTTTTGGATGGGGGGCTGGGCCGAAAAAGTGGTCAATTTTTTAAACGACATTTCTCAAACGAAAACAAGTGTTTGGGGGCCTAAATAAGGCATTTTTTCACCATTTGAGAAAGCAAAAAGGGGGGGGGGGCGGGTGAAAAAGACATAGAGAGGCGTATATATCTGGTAATGGGTTAACACACTAGAGGTCACATGTTTGACTCAGTTGTCATCAAACTTGGCCAGGATGCTTGTCTAAGACATTGCTTGGATGCGGTTGATGGGTCAGGTGAGCGATCCAGGGCCCTGTTGTTTTTGTATCAATATCAAAATTTTGTGTCCGCACTGTTTCTTTTAAACTGATTGTAGAAATATTAAATATATTTGGCAGAAATATATATAATATTGAGATGATGTGCACAGTTTTGGACTACCTTGCGTCAAGGTCACACTGACTCCTTATATAAGTGTTTGTTTATATTACAAAGGGAGATTACAATGTATGAATTTATTAATGTGTTTCCTCCTAATGTTACCTTCCTTTATTTTCCAAAAACTATTACTTTATAATGTTTTTATGCCCCCGGGCATATAGTAATTGAACCATCCTTTCCATCTGTCTGTTTATAAATACAAACCTAGAGGTACTTGTGTGACTTGGAGCACAATAGGTAACAGTAAATTCTCTTTGATCCTATCAATCTATTTTTACTTGTGTGTCTTTTTTATATGCTCGAAAGAATTTTCGGGCATATGTCATACCCCCTGGTGTCCGTCCATCCTTCCGTTAGCAATTTGGTTTCCGGAGCATAACTTAAGTTCCATTTTGCCCACAGTATTCAAACTTCATAGGATGATTGCCCATATTGGGTAGAAGACCCCTATTGATTTTGGGGTCACAAGGTCAAAGGTCAAAGTCACTATTAGCTAAAAACTGAAAATGGTTTCCGGAGCATAACTTAAGTTCCATTTGACCCACAGTATTCAAACTTCATAGGATGATTGTCCATATTGGCTAGAAGACCCCTATTGATTTTGGGGTCACAAGGTCAAAGTCACTATTAGCTTAATACTGAAAATGTTTTCCGGAGCATAACTAAAGTTCCATTTGGCCCACAGTATTCAAACTTCATAGGATGATTGCACATATTGGGTAGAAGACCCCATATTGATTTAAGGGTCACAAGGTCAAAGGTCAAGGTCACTATTAGCTAAATACTGAAAATGGTTTCCGGAGCATGACTTAAGTTCCATTTGACCCACAGTATTCAAACTTCATAGGATGATTGTCCATATTGGGTAGAAGACCCCTATTGATTTTGGGGTC